TTATTCAATAACAATACCAGAAAGTTGTTATTTCCTCATCAATGAAGAGAAATTCGTCCATGGAAATGAATAACTTTTTCCAGCCCAACTTATCCAGTTACCGACATTGAATATTTCTCATATTTATGTTGGAAAGGTCGACCAAAATAAAACATCAAACATAACATCAAAAGTTGACAGCCAGCATGAAATAATCCTACAGGATCCCAAGTTAGCGAATCCATACCTATATGGATAATCATCATGAGTTGCCTAGTTGTCTGTCTTACAATTTTCCTTGGAAAAACATGTTATTATAGGATATGTTGCCCATATTCATACTTCACGGCGAAGAAGGAGGCAAGCCTGGAGGACATATAAATGCATATTCAACCAAGCCTACCCTAGGCTCCAATCTAAGTTGGGAGGAGTTACATATAACCCATGCCAAAGCATATCCAGACGCCGCCACTGGAGTCCATGTGCCGGATCACCATCAATGATAAACACCGGTAGAAGCTGACTAAGGATTCTCCCCGTTATTTATCTTATATTTCTCATTAGTTTGCATTCCCTTCACCTTTCATTTTTTATACCACAAATTATCTTTGAAACTCTGAATTATTTTCGTGAAATATCAATTGATTAGTTCACATTGTTTTCACTGAAGTTATAAGCACGTTGGCTGCCGTATGGACCGCCGGCTGTCAAATTGACAATGCAATTTGAGGCCGATCGAGTTTGACTATGTATTACCAGAAATGTCACACTCAGAAATTACTGTTTGATTCAAAGAAAGCGCAGCAGTTGGAAAATATATATTTCTGATCATTTATTTGCACAATACATGCCAAAACATAGTGATGGCAGCCCGCGGTCAGGTGGCATTTTTATGATCATGTATTACATTGTTTGCCACGTGACCGCCGGCTGACATATGCAAATCAAAACATAACCTAACAACAATTGCCAGAGACTGTCAGTGTGTTTTTTATGATATCAGTGTGTTATTTCATGGTGAACATAATCAGAAGGTATGTGTGTTGTAATATTTTGGTTTTATTAGTTGTATTCATTTGAAATGATTTTAGATGGATAACCCAAACCAACCATCCACTTCTCTTGCATCTCATAATCGTAAGAGGCCACTAACAAATGCTGAGCTAGAAGAGACTTTGAATTCTTGATTATCATATACAGAAGTCGTATCTGGTGAGTCATCGGATTCTGATTTTAGTAGCGATGATAGTGTGCAGGACAAGAATTATGAAATGGGTAACGATTCAGAATCAGAAGATGATTCTTGTGATAGTAGTGATTCTGAATGCATAGAAAATGATCAGAAAATCAGTAAACAAGGTCAAAATATTCACGAGTGGGATCAGGTTACAGGGGCACATCAAAAAGTTTTCCAGTTCGACGATCAGTTTGGTGTCAATCCCAACCTAGATATTCAAAACATATCAGTATTGGAAAGCTACAAGCTTTTTGTTTCTGATGAAATTTTGCGAATTATTGTAACGGAAACTAATAGAAATGCTGACCAGGTGATTCGTAAGAAAGGTTTGCTCAGGAAGAAAAGTAGACTTGCCGCTCGAAAACAGACCGATATTGATGAAATAAAAAAATTCATCGGTCTTCTAGTTTACATGGGATTAGTTCGGTTCCCAACGATTGTTTCTTATTGGAGCAAGAATAAAATTTATAAAAACTCAATTGCTGCCCAAATAATGTCTAGAAACCGATTCCAGTCACTTTTGAGATTCTGGCACTTCTCGGACAACGAGTCCCCTGATGCATCGAATAGTCGTTTGTATAAAATTAACAATCTTGTTTCGTTTTTCAATCGCAAATATAAAGAAATGATGAAACCTGACCAATATATTGCAGTTGACGAAACCATGATACCGTTCAGGGGCTGATTAGGTTTCCGGCAATATATTCCCGGAAAAAGACATAAATATGCTGTCAAAGTTTTCGAAATGTGCGATAGAAAAGGCTATACTCATTCATTGTCAGTATACCAAGGAAAACATGATCGAAACCCAGAAACAAGTCTTTCAACGGAAGTTGTTATGACGCTTTGCGAAAATTATTTGGATCAAAGACTACTAAACCGTAAGACACATACTGTAGGCACTTTGCGAAAAAATAGGAAGGGAACGCCTAAAGGAATCATCAAAGAGAAACTGAAGATAGGTGAGATAGCAGGAAGAGAAAATAATAGTGGAATCGTGATTGCAAAGTGGAAAGATAAGCGGGAAGTTTATATACTGTCGACGTATCATACCCTCGATATTACGAATACCGGCAAAAAAAAACAGAAAGCGTGAAGATATTGTCAAACCACAGTCTATAATCGATTACAATCCAGGGAAAGCAGGAATCGATTTGTCAGATCAACTCTCATCTTATTCAACTTGCGTGAGAAAATCTTTGCGTTGGTATCACACAGTGGCCACTGAACTGCTAATGGGAACTACTGTTGTGAATAGTTTGATTGTATATAAATGTGGTAACCCAGATAAAAAAATATCTATAACTCAGTATAGGGAAGAATTAGTTAGCTCTCTCCTGATTCTAGAGCTTGAAAATGATAGACTTCAGATAAATAAACAGAAGCATTCACATGTTATTGAATAAACAGGAGAGAAGTGTAAGAGGAACAGGAAAATTAGGAAACGATGCACTGTTACGAGAAAAATTCCGTCGAACATGGTTTCCAACTTGCTGCTAAAATGACCAAGAAGGTTACCACATTTTGCTCTTCATGCCCAGACAAACCCTTCGTTTGTATTAAATGTTTTCCAACACATACAGTGTGTCCCAAATTCGATCTTCACCATAGGGATCTCAGTAACTATGAAATATAGAGAAACGGTTAAATTGGCAAAGTTGTAGCAAATTCAATGTTGAATCAGAATCTATTGAGAAATCCGGGCTAGCTTTAGTCATTCTTGAGTTATTTGAGAAAAACTGAAATCTTGTATTTTTGTTTTGTTCGATCATCTCGGAAACTATTGATTTGATGAAAAAATGATTTCAACATTCTCATAGCACTTTTTGGTGTTCTTTTCAATGGTTTTGTCAGTTTTCCATCGAATTGTCAAATTTTTGAGATATCACCTACAACTTCAATTTTTCTTATGGACGCCATATTGGATTTCAACAGATTTCAAATCAGCATAAAATTTCGTTTCTAGTGATGTATCACAATCACTGTTTCATTATTTGGGGTACTGATTTCCAATTTTTGTTTTTATGTCCAGTAGGCTATGAATTCTGTAACTAATAAATGAAACTCCACGACAATTCATTATGTTGTGTTATTAGTTACTAATTCACTCCACCATGACTTTTACCTCAGATTATGGAATCTGTGTTCTATGTTCTTGCATAACTTAACAGGTGGATAATACAAATACTGAAAAAAAATAATTGAACTTTTCGAAATGGCCCCCATTGTTCTTGATACATTTCAATATTCGCGAGCGAACATGATTCGCTGCTTTTCTCAGATGAACTCTGCTGATGTGCTGGAATGTGTCCATCACTCTCTCGTAGATCATCAATATTTCGAATTGGCTCTTCACAAATTTTATTTTTGGCGTAGCCCCACAGGTAAAAATGGAGAGGCGTACAATCAAGCGACCTTCGAGGCCATCTAACAGGTCCATGAGTAGTAATTAACTTAGCACCAAATTGATTTTCGAGATATCAATATCGATTATTTCATACTGGTTGACGAACCAGTGACAAAACTCGAGACGACGTTCATCATCACCAGGTTTTAACCCTTGTACTGTCACTGGTTTTTGTGAACGGCATTGTTTGCCCCGAAATAATCAACTTTTTCCTCTCGACGTTTACCAAAAAGTCACTTGGCTCCAAGCCTACTCTATGAAAGTTGTGCCAGAACACATAATCGTTTTTGTTTATAGAGAGTTTAGCGCATAGCCTACTGGACATAACAACAAAAATTGAAAAGCAGTACTCTTTATGCGATGAAACTGTGACTGTGATAAATCACTAGAAAGGAAATTTTATGCTGATTTCAAATCTGTGAAAATCCAGTATGGCGTCCATGAGAAAAACCGAAGTTGTAGGTGATATCTCAGGAATTTGACATTATGATGGAAAACTGACAAAACCATTGAAAAGAACACCAAAAAGTGCTATGAGAATGTTGGAGTCATTTTTTCATAAAATCAATAGTTTCCGAGATATTCGAGAAAAACAAAAATACAAGATTTCATTTTTTCTCAAATAACTCAAGAATGACTGAGGCTAGCCTAGATTTCTTGATAGATTCTGATTCAACATTAAATTTGCTACAACTTTGCTAATTTAAGCGTTTCTCTATCTCTCATAGTTACTGAGATCCCAATGGTGAGGATCGAATTTGGGACACACTGTATATAAATGTTCATAATTCATATTAAGCTGATATGTATTTTAAATATATTATTTTTCAGATAAAAATATGAGTTTGAATTGATTCCTGATTGACTTTCAGTTTCCAAGCAAAATAATCACTGAATTCCGAAACCACTTGCGATCTTACATTTCTCATTTGCCGACTCAAAACTTCCTCTAAGATTTCTGTACTGGGATGAACAGCCGACTACCAGTCGACAATTTTAGTGAAAGTATTCAATGACAGCGGGCGAACATGCGAACATATGAGTCATTCAATCAAATGGACGCCGGCTGTCATGAATCCACATTATATATGCTGCCAAATAAGCTTCGGCAGCTAACGTGTTAGGAACGATTTACATTTCAGACAGAAGTGTTCTGTAATACTCACCAGCTTATGGTGAATGAAACTACGTTCAAAAATTGTTCTTCATTCAGTATTAGAGTAACCCTTTTACACAAAAAGACTCAAACGAAACTCCATACCAGACTTTATCGTCCCTGGAACGTTTGATAACACGGTAGCACGTTTCTTAAACATACACGCCTTCCAACCCCACGCCTGGAATGATCTTGAGCTAGCAACATTACTACAGCCTGGCATGCTCTATGCACCAGAGACAAATCATGATATTGACGCCTATTTCATAGGAAACACTGCACTAGCCGACTGTTCTCTACAGCCTACCTCAGCCATTCTAATAATTAATGAACTTACCAAAAGTTCGACCCTCCGCCACGCTGACAATCCTATCAATGCGCTGACACACGCCTTCCATCCCGTCGGTGTATTCGGGCCTGAATACATTCATGAGACAACGGAGATAAAAATAGCTCCTGCGTCAATGATGATTGTGAAGAGTACGAAGACCAACGTCACGGTGACTCCAACAGACCTAGGTCCTCACTCACATTTAGGCGACGTTCACCCAGCTCGAACTGGACCATACTGGAAACATTTCCCATACCACAGATATTCTTCATAGAAGAATACTTCTAGAGCCCTCGTATCGATCGTCAACTCAAAATACCAATTAATTAGACCAAAACAGTCCAAATATCTAATCCCAATTAATGAACAGTTGAAAGTTGTTTATTATTTATTGTTTTCTTGTCATCATATGAAGTTGATAATACAATACTGATGGTTATAAAATGTGGCTACAGACCTTTTGTAATTAATTTTTTATAGTTCAGAAAATAGTTACACGAATCCGCGTGGATGTAATCAACTATTTCTCCACTTCATATCGAGTTTTTTTGTCAATATTATTGGTCTTTCATCATTCATTTGGGGGTTACTTGTGAATTATCTCACATTTCTGCGAATAGTATAGACCTCAAGTAGTTCCAATTTGAGTTTTACAAACGAAAAAGATGCTTTTTCATCGCATTCTTCTCACCAGAACTAAGCCTTCCTTATGCAAGTGAAAAAATAATATTCAAGGATTTGAGATCTGAGAATGTAACATTTGAGACTCCTTCCACTTCAGGCATATCTTGTATTTCTAAGAGAAAAGTAGAAGAAAATAGTGACTCTGGAAGTTGTTCTAGTGGGTCTGTTTATGAGCCGGAAGAAACTGGAGAATCTAATTCTAGTGCTTCTGAAGAACGGCAGGAAATCAATTTGCCTGAGACTCAGTTGGAGCAGCCCATGTATGGAAATATGGAAGAAGGCCGTAAAAGAAAGAAGAAGGCTAAGAAATGAAAAATTGAGTGAAAAGGGAAGAGAGTACTTAGGATACAGCAGAAGTAGAGATGGAAGCGTTAAACAAGATAGCATGAGACCCGAAAGATACATGGGACAAGCATGCAATTCGCGTTTCTGTAGAAAATCTTCCAAAAGACAATGTAGCGCATTTTCCGAGGAAAAAAGGAGAGAACTCTTTGAATACTTCTGGTCTTCATTGAGTTGGGATCAGAAGAAAATTTACGTTTGTTCGCACGTATCAAGAGTAGAAACCCAAAAAGAAACTGCTAATCTGAATGAAATATCTCGTAGAGAAGGAAGTTTCAATTACACGTTGAGTAATGGTCAAATAAAAGTACCTGTGTGCAGGGAATTTTTCTTAAACACTTTGGGCCTTCGACCTTTTACTGCACAAAGCTGGGTAAAACAGAGTAGAAATGGAATGCGAGAAGAGGAGCAACAACAGAACGAAAAAAGAAAAAGTAAAAATTACCGTATTAAGAAGTTTGAAGAACAGAATGAGTATTTAAATGATTTTTTCAAAAATTTACCTAAACAACCATCTCATTATGTAAGGAAAAATACTAGCAAGCTGTATCTTGAAGAACATTTTACATCTATGAAGCAGCTATTTGATAAATACTCAGAGAAATTTCAACAAAACGACGTTACACCTTTGGGAAGATACGTCTTTGAAAAAACATTTAAAGAAAAAAAATCTGTGTTTGTTTTCTCCAAAGAAGGATCGTTGTAATATTTGTATACAGCATGAACATAAAAATGTATCAGAAGATAAATGGAAATATCACATCGATAAGAAAGAGAAAGTTCGCAAAGAAAAAGAGAACGACGTTAAAGAAGCTAGACAAAAGAAGTGCATTTTATTAAAAATGGATTTGCAGGCGGTGAAAGTAGCCCCTTTTTCAAGTGCCACCTCCATTTATTTTAAAACAAAGTTATCATGTCATAACTTCACTGTATATAATGTTGAAAATCACCAAGTGTCTTGCTACTGGTTCACAGAAATTGATACAAATCTTAATGCTCATACTTTTGTATCTTGTTTGTTAGATTATATCACAACAAACTGTTTGCATCAAAATCTTCCTATTATCATCTATAGCGACGGCTGTACGTTCCAAAATCGGAATGCGCTCATGTCTAACGCCCTTCTTAACTTCTCAACTCTTCACAAGGTAACGATTATGCAAAAGTTTTTAGAAAAGGGTCACTCACAAATGGAGGTAGACTCAGTACACAGCTGCATAGAAAAAAAATTGAAAAATCGCAAAATTCATTTACCTAGTGACTATTTGAGGGCAACAGAAGATGCACGAAAATACCCGGAGCCTTACAAAGCGATAAAACTGGAGTAAAATTTTTTTAAAGATTACTTTGATGTGGCAAACTTTCAATATACATCCTTAAGGCCCGGAAAAAAGTCATCAGATCCTACTGTTACAGAAATCGTTGCTATAAAGTACTCAGATGATGATTTACAGATTAAATTAGATTTTGGTAAGGAATGGGAATCGCTGCCTCTGAGAAAAAAAACTGTAGGTCCTGACATAATAAACCCTCAAGCACATAATTCCCAATTGCCACTGAAGAAAAAAAAGTGGTTACATTGCAAGCGTTAGAAAGTGTTATTCCAAAAGACTGCTGGTCTTTTTATGATAATCTTCCGTATAAAAACGATAGTTAGTTTGATATCTTCAATACTTATGTGTAAATTTATCTGGATTTAACACAACTGTTTGTGAAGGACATTTTATTTCACTTTTTTCCACAAGTGAGTTTTATTGTCAAAGTATTGAAGTATTAAATTCATCTCGATACCTCCTTACGCAATATCTCCTATGTTAATTATGAATAATAAAAATTTAAAAATACAGGGAAATATGAATTTCCCAAGTTTTATTTCTTTTTTCAGCAGTATATTTGCAAAAAAAACTTGAATCCGATATTTTAAGGATAATGAAAAAAATTTTATATCACTTCCTGTAAAATCATGTCTAAGTAAGATAGAAGGTATTGTCACATCACTGACGATAGGGCGTTACTTCAACTCATGATCTAGAGTTCCCCATAGGTAAAACCCTATAAGAGTTGGAATTCTACTTTTTCAATAGGTGAAGTTCTATGTGATTTCGTGATGTGAATATTGTCTGTTTTTTAATGAATTGCGAGAAGGTCTTAACGGTGTCGAATGATCGCCCTGTGATTCCGGATCGCCCTGTACACGGCAAGTATGGAAATTCTGGTCACGCAAATTAGCATTATAATGATGCGCCATTAACTCAGATATTTCCACAATCTAAAAAAATGTGCACTCATTTTCCAGAAAGAATTTGTGGAAAACCAGAATAGCGATATAATGAGTTGCGTCAGTAATATTGCTAATCGGTAATTATCCGTAGAAGAATGTGTAGAAACAAAACATTATCTGAATAATTCATTTTATCAAATGTGCACTTATTTCACAGAAAAATTAACCTGATAGATACGAAATTTTTCGAAAACAAATTAGCGATATAATGATATGCGTCAGTAAATATTGCTGATAAATAATTATCCATAGAAAAATTTGCCCCCAAACAGACAAAAAGATAATCTTCTAAGGACACTATTTAAACAAATTTCCACCGTATTATACATTTCATTTTGTCTATTTTAAAATTTTTCAAGTGCAGTTGTAACATGGGTAAGTTGGAAATATTTCTGTACCTAATAAAAAATTAAACAATTATCAAATTTTTCCAGAAGATATACCAATCCAAGCAATAAAGGAATTATTGCCAGTTCAGGCCAGGGTCCGTATCTTTTATTTAGTTATTTTCCTTTCATATTGATTGATTTCCCACAAAACCCTTGATATCCAGCAATCCATTATGTTGAGTATACGTATTTTGGAGACAGCATGAAGATCTTGGTTAGCTCATCAAATTTCAAAAAGCATGTTGAATTAGGGAGAAATTGTAAATTTTTGTGAGGATCAGTTATCTGAAAAGTTCAACTACTTCAATTTGCTTAACAGTTTTTTGATTGATATTTCGTACGCTTTTCATACAATGATAATACTGGGTGTAACAGGATCATGGTACATCAAACTAACGTACATCAACGTTTATCAAGTTGATTAGTTATTTCAAATTTCAATCACTCATCTCTGAAACAAAAGGAGGAAAAGGGGGTATACCATGATCTTCTCACTCCTGTATCACATAATGTTGTATAATCAATATTTCAGTTTTTAAAAGATATACAGATCGTCTGAATTTTATCATAATTCATTAAATCATTTCGGAACCAAATAATTTAGCATTATTAAGTGAATGTTGTGTGTTTTTCAGAACAAACCAATCCTGTTGTTACAGGGGAGGGTCTTGGGGGGACCAAGTGTCCCTCCAGGTGTGACATGGGTAAATAATTGGAACCACAAGAGTAGTGATACAATGTATGTTCTGCCTCAACATTTTTGAGGCAGAACATACGTATGTTCTGCCTCAACTTAGTTCGGTCTAGTCTTAGGTGAGGCAGAACATACGTATGTTCAGCCTCAGCGATTTTTCTGTGTTATCGATCTCGTTGAGATGGCTATATGGTGGTTGGGAAGGTAGAAGGTGGTTGAACACCCCACGTAATCCAGAGGGGTATATTATTTGTTTGAAAATTTTTTTTGTCACACCCACACGACTCTATCATCATATGTGTGAAGACCTCCCACAAGACTAACCCTGTGATGTATATCTAGTTGGTAATGTGACATGTAATAATAAGAGTGAATATATTTTTCTACTTACATCAGTGGTTCGAACAAGTGGTTTAGTGGTTTGAACAAGTGGTTTAGTGGTTCGAACAAGTGGTTTAGTGGTTCGAACAAGTGGTTTAGTGGTTCGAACAAGTGGTTTAGTGGTTCAGTAGTTCGAACAAGATGTTCCATTGAGAGGTTAGACCGATTGATCACAATCATTGGTGGAATCGTCAGATCGTTCAATCGCTATGATGGCGGTTGGTGTTTGGTGTTTGGTGTTCTACAATTACAAAACAATTTGGTATCAGTATTTTATCTAACACACTCATATCATAGAGTGACTGCGTGAGAGAGAAAGAGAGAGAGAGATATTATATACATTTATTGATATCTATGTATAAAAATATATGATTCTGAATAACATCACGATGGGGATTCCGGCATTTCTTCCAAACAAAATAAATCAAAATTATGATCCCTCCTATTAGCTGTATGCCAATAGATGCTGTTGATACAGAAACAAAACATTTGATTGCAGTCTGTGCAATACTGGGTATTAAGCGGTGTGTCAATTGACATCAGGTCATCAATATCAGCTTCAGCACTAAAATAATGAGAATGAGATATCAGAA